GATGCAAATCATCTAGCCTATTAAGAGGTATGTACCTAATCTATCTTTTATTTTAAATCTAATAGTACATATAATATATATTTGAAAACTTGAATAATCTAATATATATTCTAATAATCTAATGTATGTTGTTTTGAGAAGTTTGAATATTATTATTATGTTTGTTTTTATTTTCTAACATCATTATTATATCTTGTATTATAGAATTTTTATCATGTCAAACCTCACAAAGCTTGATTTTGTGGCCCTTGACATTTCGGGCAAGAATTATTTATCATGAGTGTTTGATGCTAAGTTAATATCATCTACTTTTCATGCCTCGAATATGCTCCTGCAGTAGCATATCAAGATCATCTACTTTTCATGCCTCGAATATGCTCCTGCAATAGCATATCAAGAAAAAGAGTTTAAGAAATATTATGAATCGATTTCATATTTGCTCATGGCTAAATAAAATGAAAAGCTATTGACGAAAAAGAATAAATCTCATCCAATTGGATCTATTCCATTCTCTCGAAGTGAATGTGACAATTTATAATAATTTTAGACATGGATGAAGATGTGGTCGAGCCATGAATATGGTCAAAATAATTATCATTGTAATCTTGCTGATAACGTGTTGTGAAAAATATATAAAAAACATTCAAATGCATGCATTTAATGAATGTGATCACGGTTTATTTATTCATTTGAAATGATATCGGTATAAAAGTTCTAGAAGGACTTAACATGCCGAAGCATGTAATACATATTCTCGAGAAAAGAATTCAATTAAATGATGGAGATCTCTATTAGGATTATTTTAGTATTTGTTTTATTATTTGGTTTTTAGAAATTTAATTTATACTTTTTATATTTCATTTTTATACCTACTCTTTATTACTAACCTATGTGCATGTGATATAATCACTTCAATGATTATTTATTGAAAGAAAGTTATAAAAAATAACCCTATTTGTTCATATGTTTTTATTTGAAAGGGGTTTTTTTATATATTGATAACTTAAATATTATTGGAACTCCCGAAGAGATTCCAAGTGTCATAAGTTACCTAAAAAGAGAATTTGATGTGAATATCTTAAGAAAATAAAATGTTATCTCGACTCGCAATTCGAGCACTCGGAAAATGAGATTTTCATTCATCGATCAATTTATATCGAAAAAGGTTCTATAATGATTCTATATAAAAATCATTCATTGACTAGCCCAATGGTAGGTCATTCACTTAATATCCAAAAAGACCTTTTTTAACATTGAGAAGATAACGAAGAACTACTTGGTCATGAAGTACCATATTTTAGTGCCACCGGTGCATTGATGTATCTTGCTAATAATACTTGACTTGATATAGTCTTTTCTATAAATTTATTAGCAAGATATAGTTCTGCTCCAACACAAAGACATTGGAATGGAATTAAACATATATTACGTTATCTCCGAGGAACAAGTGATATGGGCTTATATTACTCTAACAAATCAAAGAATGGATTAATTGGTTATGCAAATGTATGTTATTTATCTTATCCACACAAAGCTCGATCTCAAACTCGGTTATGTATTTACATATGGAGATACAGACTATATCATAGCGTTCTATGAAGCAAACTATAGCCGCCACATCTTTAAACCATACGAAATACTAACAATTTATGAGGCAAGTCAAGAATGTGTTTGGCTAAGATCAACAATCCATCATATCCGAGAGACATGCAATTTATCTATCAACGAAAAGAAGTTTCAACAATATCATATGAAGATAATGCTGCTTGCATAGTTCCATTAAAGGAAGAATACATCAAAGTGATAATCCAAGCAGATTTGTTCACTAAGGTGTTACCTACCACAACTTTTGAGAAGATGATTCACAAGATTGAAATGCGTTGTCTTAGAGATCTTAAATAGTGCCTTCAACAGGGGAGACCAAAATGAAAATTAATGTGTGCAAGGAATATTGTACTCTTTTTCCTTCACTAGGATTTTTTTCCCACTAGGTTTTTTCCTAGTAAGGTTTTAACGAGGCATATTCCTTGTACAATGGACATTCAAGGGGGAGTGTTATGAAATAATGAATGTCCATCTACTTTTCATATCCCCACTACTCATAATCCTTAATGTGATTCAATTCACCATTCAATATGAGAAATTGAAAGGATGATGCAATTGATGTACTTTTAATTATTCATAGTCCCTTTCAATTCTCATCTCAATTTTGAGGCCTATAAATAGGCTTGATTGTTTATTTGTTGATGTACAAGTTTCTTAGAGAGATTAAGAGAATAACTTGAAGTTTTCTCACTTGTATTCACTTTATAGTGAATTCTTCTTCTTACCATCCTTCCTTTAAATTTTCATATATCTTTTATTTTTCACAACACAATCCAAAATTTGGATTGTGACAGACAGGACGACCTTGAACGTTTGTTTAGAATGACATTTCGTCCGCTCTTCCTAATTTAAGTATCCTGTGACTGCTGTTCCTCTTTCTTCCTTGCTGAAAAACCTAGAGGAAAAAAGGCAATCACACAGGCTGTGTTTTCTTCATCTTTTTTCCTGAGACCATCTTTCTTCCTCCAGCTGGCCCCGTACCTTGTCCTTCCTTTCCCTCACACCAAGTCCTTGCCCTGCATCCCTTGATTTCTGTCCCCTCTCTTTTTGCACTGTCCATTTTTGCTCGTTCTCTTTCTACGTCTAAAAAACTCATCCTAGTTTGAAAGAAATGAGTAGAAAATAATTTTGGCTTAAACTTCATTGGTACATAAGAGAAGAAATGAAATTTTAGAGGCTAAAACTCACAAAAATAAAAAATCGATGGGGGTACAATTTTTTTCATGTTTCAGTCATTGATGAAGTCTTTGCTTCAAAGCGGAAGGGAAGCCTACTTTTTTAAATTATTTTCCTCACAATTATGGGATTTTTGCAATTTGATCCCTAATGTGGATGAATTCGAGGGTGAAACTGATAGATTTTTAATCTTAGGATTAGTTTCGGTTTTTATTCATTTTGATAGGTCTACGTTAATTATTTTAATGTGAAATTTTTAGGGTATATACACATGTTTGTCCTTGGCCTAGTTTTAAATTTTTTTTAATTTTAGGAATCTATTCACTATTTATTTATTATTCTACCATTTATTTTAATTATTAGTGTAGTCTGTTTTTAGAATTTAATTATTTGATATAGTGTTTAATTTTATTTTAATCTGAAATTTTTAGAGTTTATAAACATGTTTGTCCTTAGCCTAGGTTTTAAATTTGGTAATTTTAAGAGTCCATTCACTGTTTACTTGCTATTTATTTTAATTATTAGTGCAGTTTGTTTTTTAGAATTTAATTATTTGATCCATTGTTTAATGCGATTAAGGTGATGCATATAAGTTTTTAGTTGGCGAACCTGAGTAGCGGAGCACCTACAATTCGATGGGGGTACAATATGGAGGAGGTGATGCATAAAAAATCGTATGAGATAATGTGTGTGTGTATATATATATATATATAGAGGAGAGTTGGTACAACAAGTTAACTTTATTTCAAATGTATATACAGATAGAGTCCTAAAGATTGCCATCCTATATATATGTTTGAATTCAAGTTTCAAACAGCAGTAACATTATCACCTCCTCCATATTTTTTTAATATCAATCTCATTTTACAATAATAAAATATATTCTCTAACATTTGTCAACGCCAACATGTCCTTAATTCAAAGGATATCGAACCAAATCCTCGTGAATCTGTCTCAAAGGATATCGAACCTTTTATTTCTAGCTGTCAATAGTTTAGAATTCAAGTTTCAAACAGCAATAACATTACCAAACCTTTGTCATTGATTGATAGGAATTTTCATATTAAGGTCCTATAAATTGATTGAAAACCTAATATTTATATTAGAACCATAATGATTCAATAAAACCTTCAAATTAACTAAGTACAAGGATTTTCTGAGTAAGAACTCTTGTATCATCACTTATTCAATGAATAAATATAATGACTAAAAATCTAAAGACAGGTTTATTCTTTGATTAAAAAAAAACATAGATAAAGAGCTAGAAGGAAGAAAAATCTTTCAATTTAGAGTTTCTAACTCTTTTTAATTTTTTCAAGTCTGGTCGTAGGATTTAAATTTTAAGTTAAGTATGAATCATAGCTCTAATACTTTGTAATCTATTTCTATATTATCAATAGGGGCAAAAAATAGTGTCAACTAAGTTTGGTCCTAAAATTTTTTATATTTTAAAGCTCTAAATATACTTATCTAGCTAAATTTAGGGGTTGGCACTCAACTGATGGACATCATCTAAGAAGTATTTTACGGATTAAAAAAAAAACAATTCCTTAATTTAATTGGATTATTGTTTCAAATCTTAATTTCTAGCGTAAAAGCTGCTGCTTACCTCCATTCTCCAATATTTAGGGTGTTATATTGTTTCCTCGTAGCAGTGCTAATCTTATAATTTCTTAGTTATTGGCTATGATTTTTCATTTACTAAGATTAATCATGGTGGAAGTTTGTTTAAGTTATAGAGACTGGTGTGGATATGGACTTGCAGTATACAATACTACACAAACCACAATCTGTCTATTTCCTAAAAGTTTTACAGAGTATTAGACCATATATATAGACTTGTATGTTAGGCTCTTTTTTATTATAACTCTAGATGTCCGTTACCACTTGATATATCCCCAGTAAAAAAAATTCTAATACAGTCATAGAAAAGGTATAATTACTAAATCATATAAATCTTTATGTTGTATGATTATTCTTATTTTTCTACTCTATTTTTCCTAGTTGATTCGTTTCCTAGTAGTTGTCCACCTCAAACCAGCCATCCCCTACTTAGTTATAAGTTATTAATCCTATATTCCATGATATACTTAATTAGGAAGATTTTCGATAATAGAAAATCGACAACAACCTTAAATACAACTTGAAAAAGAAGAATTCAACAACAAAATTCAATGCAACTTATTAAATGAAGAAGAGGAATTCGATAGCAATCTTAAATGAAGAAGAAGAAAGTTTTCATTGTTTTCCGCACATACTGGCTACTGCTTTCTATTCATTTGTGTTTTACATCCTCTCCAACAGAACATGTTTCTGCTTTGAGGTCTGCACAAGTAAGGAAAAATTTGTAACCGACAACACTGAAAAAGAGAGAAACAATTCAACAATCCTCTCATAGTTCATAACTCGTTATATTTATTTGATTGTGTCCTGTTTATTACAGATATCATCTCACCATATCATTGGCAATGCTAATGTGGAAATTAAAGACATATCAAATCAATTGATGATAGGAGCGGGTGCAGAAGGTGGCAATGGTGCAGCTTTTGGAAGCTTTGACCAAACGGTTCTAATGGTTGCTTTAGAAGTGTTGTGGGTTTGGAATCTTGAAAACTTCCCCTGAGGCAGTGGTCGAGCCATGGAACTTCCAGTAAGGGCACAAAGCAGCAAAGATATAGCAACAAGGAAGCTTATGAAACTGTTGTACTTGTTTGAGTACTCCATTTTTTTGTGCTGAATGTTTTGCAGGGAACGACTATGTATATATACACACACATATGATATATCCGTATTGTGCCTAAAAAAGAAAAAAATCAAAATATTAAAGAAAACTTCCTTATCAACTCAAATCATTGATACGTTGTGGCTGAATGAGAAAAAAAAATCTAACCGTTAAATATTTAAGGTAACTTCTCAGCTCGAATCATTGATACATTGTACTTGTTTGAGTACTCCCTAATGTTTTACAAGAAACGGTCATATATAGAAAAAGATCAAAATATTAAAGAAAACTTCCTTATCATTTCAAATGATTGATACATTGTGCCGGATAAAGAAAAAAATCAAAATATTAAGGAGAACTTTCTTATGAAATCAAATCTTGTATGTCATAACCCAAATATCGACTCCAATAATTATTTTATATTTTTTATAATTTTTTTATTTATTTTACATAGTATAGATTTTCCATGAATAGTTATTTTATTTATTTACTATTATTATTATTGTTGTTATTGTTATTATTATTAGTTTTTGTTTCATTTAATGTTTAAAGTTTTAGTATTTTCATAAATACCAAAAACAAAAACAAAAAAAAAGAGGAAGAAAAAAATAAATACAAAAAAGATATAATTAATTTTGGATTAAGGGGTTTTCATTGTAATTAATTTGAAATTTTAGTGGATCAATGTAAGAATATTAAATTTTTTGGGGTCAGAATTAAGAATAATATAAAGGTCAATTGTTGGAAAGTAGAAGTGGAAGGACCAAAAAACTCTAATCGATGGACCCAATTGGAAAAATTAAAATTCATAAGGATGAAATTAGAAGATGTGTGCGGATAATAGTGTCATCACCCGACATCCGACGGGACTCCCGAGAATTTGAATTTTGTTTATTTTTGATTTATTTATGATTTTTGAGGATGTGAGGTATTATTGATTTTGAGATTCGTCACCTGTTATTGTAGGAACTAAAAACCTAAAAATAGCATTCGTCCGGATATTTTAGGGTAAAGAGTTGGTTATACTTCGGGAAGATATCGATCACCCAAAAGTGTCATTTCCTAACACAGGTACCATGTCTACCTTAGTCTTAAAATTTATCTCCTAAGGTGTTTATTTGTGTCAAATTGTTTTCAATTCGAACTCCAAGTTTTTTATTTTTTAGGCCAAATTAAGTTTTTTATTTTTGTTTTTGGTTTTGTATTGAATTAATCGTCGGACCCCTTCATCGAAAGACATGTTAGTTCAAATATCGGATCCATTTTAAGTCTCAACATAATCGATTTGTCGAAGAACGACCTAATTACAAAAATGATTTTTTGGCTAACAATAGTCTCTATTAGATAAGATACTTTGTTAATTTTTCTTAGCATTTTCTATTTTTTTAGTTTTGTTTTTCCTAGAATTTTCTATTTTTTTGAAGAAAAAAAAATTCTTGCCTAATATTTTTTCATTCCTTTTCCTATATCTCTATTTTTATTTATTTTTTTGAATTATTGATTATTGGTGAGAAATCGTCATCGGTTCCTAAAAATTAAGAGAATCGATAATTCGTTTACCAATTAATTATATATCCTAAATCTTTACATAGAAACCTAACTAATTAAACATTTTAATTAAATGAATAAACAAATAAAACAAAAATTTAAAGAAATTAAATTTAAACTAGGTATAAAAAAATAAAAGCAAATATTAAAAATAAATTTAGGCAAGATTCACTAGAACAAAAGGTCGAAAATGGGGTGATTGGGCCCACTCGGATTGGGAAAACATTTCCCTCTCTTTCTTTTTCTTTTTTTTTTTTTTTCAAGTTTGAATTGATTTAATGCAATTATGCCCCATGATCAGATTTATCTATCTATTTTTTGGAATTTATGTTTTTTCTTATGTTTGTTTTATTTTTCTTGTGATTTTTCATGTTCAATTTTTTTTTTTTTAATAATGAGTACTAAAATAAAATAGAATAGCTAAAAATAAATATACGATGAAATGAAGGAATAAAGGAAAAACTAAAAAAATAAGAATTAGCTAACATAAAATATTAAATTAAGGGAAAAAAGTGTATCACAAATTTTAGGTTATGATAGTAGTCCCTTATTTACAATGCTTACGGTGCAAATCCTAACCGAAGGGCGAACTTCGAGTGGGTTTGTTTAGTGAGTTTGTTAAGACCAAAATAAAAGTGAAATTATTGATAAAAAAGTTTTGTCTAACGTGGATAGTTTAGTTTGTGGAATTGAAATGTAATACAGCGGCCTTGTTATCAAAGGCGGCTCGCCAATAAAAGTAAAATGCAATGATCTTGTTGTCAAAGACAACTCGCCTCGAAAATTAAAATAAGATACAATGGCCTTGTTGTCAAAGATGGATATCTTGAAAATAAAATGCAATGGTCACTGGGCAACTTTGCTTAAAACGATAAACTAGGTAGGCAATCATGCCCAAAATGAGAGATGATCACTAGACAATCCTACCTAAGCGATGAACTAAGCTAGGCAATCATGTCTAAAAATAAGAAACGATCACTAGGCAACTTTGCCCGAAGCAATGAACTAAATTAGGCAATTTTGCTTGGAAATGAGAAGATCATTAGGCAACCTTACCTAAGCGGTGAACTAAATTAGGCAACACTACCTAAAAATGAGAAGTGATTGCTAGGGATCTCTATGTAAAACAATGAACTAAATTGACAACCACCGCTCGAAAATGAGGAGTGATTGCTAGGCAACCTCACCTAAAATAATGAACTAAATTTGGCAACCCCAGTCGGAAAATGAGAAGTGATTGCTAGGCAATCCTCGCCTAAAACAATAAACCAAATTTGGCAACTCTACTTGGGAATAAGAAAGGATTGCTAGACAACCCTTCCTAAAACAATGAACCAAATTTGATAACCCCGCTGGGAATGAGAAGTGATATCTAGACAACCTTGCCTCAAACAATGAATTAAATTTGGCAACTCGCTTGAAAATGTGAAGTGATTTCTAGGTAACCCCGCCTAAAACAATGAACAAATTTGACAACCGTATCCGAAAATGAGAAGTGATTGCTAGGCAAGCTTTCCTAAAACAATGAACGAAATTTGACAACTTTGCTCGAAAATGAGAAGTGATTGCTAGACAAACCTTCCTAAAATAATGAACTAAATTCCTACGCAACCCCCGAGGCAATGGTCGATGGAACTTCCTAAAAGGGCACAAAGCAGCAAAGATATAGCAACTAGGAAGCTTATGAAACTGTTGTACTTGTTTGAGTACTCCATTTTTTTATGCTTAATGTTTTACAAGGAAATACTATATATATAGTACTGTGTGTAAAAAGGACAAAAATCAAAATATTAAAGAAAAATTCCTTATCAACTCAAATCATTGATGCATTGTGCCTGAATGAGAAAAAAAAATCCAAATGTTAAATATTTAAGATAACTTCTCAACTCAAATCATTGATACATTGTACTTGTTTGAGTACTCCATTTTTTTTTTTTTATGGCTAATGTTTTACCAGAAACGGTTTTATACATAAAAAAAAATCAAAATATTAAAGAAAACTTCCGTATCATATCCAATCATTGATACATTGTGCCCGATAAAGAAAAAAAAAGATTAAAGAGAACTTTCTTATCAAGTCAAATCAAGTGTGTCATAACCCAAATTTCGACTCCCTTAATTATTTTAGATCTTTTATAAATTGTTTCTTATTTTACTTAGTGTAGATTTTCTATGAACATTTATTTTATTTATTTATTATTAGTAGGAGGAGGAGGAGGAGGTTTTTTTTCCATCTAATGTTTAAATTTTTATTATTATCATAAATATAAAAGACAAAAAAAAAAAAGAAGAAGGAAAAAAAATACAAAAAGGACAGAATTAATTTCAGATTAGGAGGTTTTAATTGTAATTAATTTGAAAATGTCGTGGATCGATGTGAAAATATTAAATTTTTAGGGGGAGCAATCAAGAACAATAGGAGGGTTAATTACTGGAAATTAGAATAAGAATGACTAAAATACTCTAATCGAGGGACCTAATAGAAGAAATTAAAATTCAAAGGAATGAAATTGGAGGAGGTGTGCAAATGATAGTTTCGTTACCTAACATCCGACGGGACTCTCGAACATTTGAATTTTTTTTATTTTTGAATTATTTATGATTTATGGGGATGTGAGTTGCTATTTATTTTGAAAGTCATCACCTAGTATTGTAGGAATTAAGAACCTAAAAATGGCATTAGTCCAAAGATTCTAGTATAAGGAGTTGGTTGTACTTTTGAGAAGATATTGATCATCTAAAAATGTCATTTCCTACAAAAGGTATCATGTATAATTTAGTTCTAAAAGTTATCTCTTAATGTATTTTATTTGTGTCAAATTATTTTCAATTCGAACTCCAAGTTTTTTATTTCCTAAGCCAATTAAGTTTTTTATTTTTGTTTGTGACATCATATTGAACCAATCATTGGACCATTTTATCTAGAGACACATCAATTCAATATCGGATCCATCTTAAATCTCAACATAATCGATATATTGGAGAACAACCTAATTACTAAAGTAATTTTTCGATTAATAACGATCCTTATTAGATAAGAGACTTGATTAATTTTTATTAGCGTTTTCTATTTTTTTAAATAAAATTCTTGCCTAATATATTTTTCTCTTTTTTTTTTCCTTTATCTCTTTTTTTTTTCATGTCATGGATTATTGGTTATAAGTCCCTAAAAATTAGGAGACTAAGACAATTCTTTCACCAATTAATTATCTATCCTAAATCTTTACATAGAAACCTAACTAATTAAAAAAATGAACAAATAAAACAATAATTTAAAGAGATTAAATTTAAACTAGGCATAAAAAAATAAAAGCATATATTGAAAATAAATTTAGGCATGATTCACTAGAGCA